TATGAGAAAGCTCATGGTTACAATTATTCAGGGGAGACACTTTCCCTGTTACCCAGAGCCCACACTGAGATAAGCTTGCCTTGTCCTTCTCCTCGGTTGGTGGGCTGCTATTTTTCTAATTAATTAATATGGAGCTCATTAGGGGACCTGGCTGTACGTATGTATGGGTGTCTCAGCTCAACCTCTCCAGCTGTGAGAGCTCAAGGCCCTGTCTCCTGACTCCACGTAACTGTCATGGGACCCTTATATGAAGGAGAGCTCCATACCTAAGAACCCCTGACAGCTGGCAGCCAGCCTGGTTTATAAGCTTCTCACTTCCACTTTCAGCCTTCACTCTGATCTTGGCCCACTGAAACGTCCCCTATTCTCTTTCTGGCTAAGCTATGCGTTTAATATTTTATACAGCATTTCTAAATGTTCGTAGGAGAAAGATTTCCTGTCATGACATTGTTGGATAGGAGTTGAAGGATTATTTCTTTGACATGCCTATGCCATAGAAGTCCTAGAAGTTCAGAGTCTCCCAAGAATGATTTTATAAGGCAGCGAGTAGAATGGATTTTCTTTGCAAACGGAAACAGAAGATCAGCAGATTGATAGTAATGCCTATGTTTAAACAGCAAAAAAACTGTTTCTTCAACTAATCAAAGATAAAATTAAAACTATCATCAATGTTTTTTAGGGAGAGGTGTCCACAAATTAAACATTACATTAATACAAAGTTTTAGCTGGGAGGGTGCTATGTATTCCAGTATATGCTCAAAATAAACACCATGACCCACTCACTGATCAGAACTCTTGCTGTTGAGAGTTTTAAAAAAATCTGTACACTGTAAGATTTCTCATTTTTAACCTGTATATATTTTCAACTTATCATACCTCAGGCTGCCCAGTAATGGCCCCTATAACATCTGAAAATAATATCTATAAAGATAAACAGAGTCTCCAGCTTGTCATGGTGCTAGTCAGAAGAGACAGGAAGAAGGACACTATGAACCTGGGTTATAAGAGAACCTGGACAATATTAAAATCCTCATAACTCTCTCACTACAAAGATCATTTGGCTTGGGTCCAAGATGGAGACACAGTCTGTAATATTTTATATTTGTAAGTGTGTGACAAAATACCTTCATGTATATGGTGCCCTTTTAAGATAAGTAGGTCAGATCAGTGGTTTACGTGATTTATCCAAGGTTACAGCCCGAAAATGGCAAAGCCTAGAATAGAATTCTGAAAATTAAATTGCATGCCAAAAGAGTGTTACCATGGCAAAGCCCCCCTCAGGGATATCTTCTGCAGCTTTCGTATCTAGAAATCATTTATAAATTTTAAAAAAGAACGACTAAATGAGAGGCCTAAAAATTGAATCCAAAGCTCCCCTACCCTAGTGCTTGTTCAATTCAGGTATGGCACAACAAAAGGGAGTGTGTGAGAAGGGGTTCATGCTTTAGACTTCTGCTGTCCAATACGGTAGCCACTAGCCACATATGGCTACTTAAAATGCAAACTGATTAAATTAAATAAACTAAAAAAGAAAATTTCTTGGTTGCACTAAGCACACTTTGAGTGCTCAACAGTCACATGTAGCTGCTCTTTGGGACGGGACTGATACAGAGCATTTCCATTATCGCAGAGTAGTATGGGTCAGCCTCACTCTACAATGTGGATTGATGAAGTAAGTAATTTTATTGTGGCAGCCGAGTAGAAAGAACACGGGCTTCGAAGATTTGAATTCTGCCTATGTCACTTACAACCTTTGTGATTCCTGAGCAAGTTTCTTAACTGCTCTGAGACTCTTGTTTCCTCAATATAAGTCAGAAATAAGTTGTTAGGAACTACACTTTTGCTTAATTAACTACAGAATCTGCAGTCTTCCCAACCCTCACTGCATCCCTGTAAGGGTCTCCTGGCTGCCCAAAGGCCCTTGATCAGTATAGAAATATACTGCTTCCAAAAAATAGAATCACCAAACCTAAGCCCTTGGCTAGTGTAAGCATTTTCTCTGTAAGATTTTACCTTTCCCTTTGGGGGGAAAGGTGTATAAATAAGTACTATATTTATAGTGTATAAATAAAAACTAAAAAATGAAATCAAATGAAACAATTAGAACTAGAAAAAATTATAGTTCAATTTTCCATTAACTCTAAAAAGTGATTTGAGTGAAAGAAGCTGGATCTGAAGGTGCAGTGAGCAAAATGGGTCAGGTGTCTTGGTGGTATTTCCCACAAGAAAACAACAGAAGGGCAGCTACAGAATCAGGTATAATTACCTGTATACACACAGACACTAATTAACTTTTTGTTTAAAGAACAAATCCCTTAACAACTCACTAGCTTGCAGACCTGACAAGACTATTTTCCACATTTAAGACTAGGTAGACAAAACACATACTCGAGAGAGGCCTTCACACTCCCAGAATCACTTTATGCTGCCTTGTCACTTCTCCCCGATACAGCTGTTCCTTTAAATACCTTCCCCAAACTTCTCTTGTAGACTGTTTCTAATACACCCACAGTAAAAGCAAGCTGATGTGCTCTTGAATTTCTAATTAGCAATAACAGAAACTGTATGGCCTCTTAGAAGATGATTCAGTGTCTCAATTAACCAGGAAACTGGACAACCTTGGTTCTAAGGAAACCTTTGTTTTAACTTCTTACTGAAAATCTTCCAAAAATAAAATGTATTAGTGTGCCGTTCTGCTCAAGAATATTCCGATTAACATAATAAACACTCCTGATAATTTCAGGTCTTATCATGACAACAAATTAATCTATGACACTATAGTGGGGTTAAAGTTACAGAAAACTGACACTTTTATGCTGACCCCGGGTTACACTCGAGATATTTGCTAGTCTCACAAAATGAAACCTATTATTAGCTTGTTTTCTTATAATTTGCTTTCATTTCTTCCACACATGGACTATAGAAATGTTTCCAGATAACTGAAGCTTTGATTAGTTAAATTTTGGTTAGTCGTGATTTAATTATATTTGTGTTATGTTGCACTTTCAAGTCCACAGGAACCTTTGCTTGTGAAAGAAATACTATGATTCACATCAAGTTTATGCTAAACAGTAACTGAATCCATGGGTCTCTGATAATTTTCCTGACTACTTTAATAATCAAACTTTTCTTAGAAGCAATAGCTAGATTAAGTTTCCAGGTAGTAAAGAGCAGAATTAAATCAATTTCCCTTAAAAAAAAAACCTGGAACTGTGTTTCTCTGCAGAATTTCCCTTCAATAGAATTTCAGCACAAAGAAAACTGCCATCTGAGATGAACCATTAGAGACGATGGACTCTGAAAAACAAACTGAGGGTTCTAGAGGGGAGGGGGGTGGGGGGATGGGTTAGCCTGGTGACGGGTATTAAAGAGGGCACATTCTGCGTGGAGCACTGGGTGTTATGCACAAACAATGAATCATGGAACACTACATCAAAAACTAATGATGTAATGTATGGTGATTAACATAACAATAAAAAATTATAAAAATAAAATAAAATAAAAAGATGGGAAAAAAAAGAAAACTGCCATCTGAAGTAATTCTACTGTGAACATTAGTTTAAATAAATCCATCTGAACTTACAGGTATTAAAAAGCATTTCCAATATGCCCCCAGAAATTAAAATCTCAGAAAGGAATTATCTGGATGAATAGTTCACTAAAAAAAAAAAAAATCAAGAGACTATTTCACTTAGATACTTAAAAGTGAGCTGTGGAGAAGAATTTGGGGCTTCTGGCTCTGAAACAGACCTCGCCATTCCTCATTCAGGGAATTAAAAGAGGCATAATTTCCAAAGCTTTTTATATTTACACCAAAGACATTCCTCTGGTACCAGTTACCTTCTAGTCAAGTGAAATCCGAACAGTAACTTTTTCTTTTCTTATTTTTATTTTTTGTAGTAACTTCCTTTTTAAGCGAGAAGTAACATTTCTCCAGCAATCTCCTTGGATGATAGTTACAATTGCTCTACGACTATAACTAGTTCTGATCTACCCACAGTCAGTGCCAAACAGTCTCTCTTCTGTCCTCACTCATACCTTCAACACCCTACTGAAACACAGGAATTGAGGATACTTTTTAGTATCTTAACTTTTTTTTTTTTCCATTAATATCTCAACTTTTTCAAAGGGCCACTCTCGCTTTGTGGACTGCATGCAACCATTCTCAAGAGTCTGTACATGCCTGAAAGGACCCTGGAACTAGGGAGCAGAGAAAAGGGTTATGATTCTTGCTCTCCAACTGGGGAGCTGCCACTCACCTCTGAGTCTCAGCTCCCTTAACTGCTTGCCTGCCCCACATAGGTTACTGTATCATTAACATTAATGTAAAGTAGCTCTTAGCCCAGAATTTGTACCCAGAAGACACTCAATAAACAGACTGAAAAATACCACTACCAGGGCAAAGATAGTACTTTCTTTGTGGATAGAAATATCGGTCCCCATCTTGTACCTCTCAAACTAAGTTCTGTTGCTCAGGGGCATGGGCAGCCAATAATTCAGTGTCCAACCAAAACAAAGGGTGAAGTTTATTTTTGTAAAAAAAACAACAGGAATATGATGTAATGCTATTATATAGAAGGAAGGGTATATTTAACTAAAACAATATAAAAAGCTACTGCATATAAGAGTGTTTCAATTTTAGAAGCCCAATTTAAAAGGTTCGATCTTACTAAGAGACTCATTTATAACCTAAGAGTACAGATTATATATATATTTTTAAAGATTTTATTTATTTGTCAGAGAGAGCACACAAGCAGGGGGAGCGGCAGGCAGAGGGGGAAGCAGGCTCCCAGCTGAGCAAGGAGACTGATGTGGGACTCATCCCAGGACCCTGGGATCATGACCTGAACTGAAGGCAGATGCTTAACTGACTGAGCCACCCAGGCGTTCCTATACTTTTTACTGTAACTTGAAACTCCAAAAATAATGTGATGATAGAAACTAAAGTCACTCAATTTAAATTGTAAATATATGAACCGTAAAAAAACAGATATACTCACAGCTTGCATTTCTATATAGAAGAAATGGTTCGTGGAGCTGAAATTCCAAATCTTTATTCACTGGTTCAACCAGATTGTGCATATTCAGTCGATTCACAATGGTAAAACCATGGTAAGGTGAGGCTGACCTTAGATTTGACAGAAGAAAAACACCTGTAGTCACTGTTTAATTTGCAGACATGTTATCTCCTTCTTTATTTCCATTTCAAAGAATAACTACATTACCGCATTATACAACATTATTGGCACTTAAAATGGTAAACAAAAAATTCAAGTCAGATCATACCCCTCCTGTTCTCAGAAGTTTCTAAGGACTTAGTTCCCCACAGTAAAGGCCAATGCCCTTACTAAGGCCAACAAGGCCTTGGCTGATGATAGGTGCCCTCCTTGCCTTTACCTCCTGTGCCTCTTCCCTTGCTTCTGCTCCAGCCACACTGAGCTCATTACTCTCCCTACAGGTATGCTTCCACCTAAAGACCTCTGCCTGGACCACTTGTCCAGAATCTAGTTATCTTACCCTTCACAGGGTTTTCCTCAAATGTCACTTTCTCAATGACACTTAGTGGAGAACTACCCTTTCTCAGGCTCCCAGCCTGCTCTCAAGTTCAATACTTCCAACTCTCTTCTCTTTTTTTCCATACCATTTACTTATTTTTCGTATTTGTCTTTCTCCACTAGAATGTAAACTCCAAGCAAACCGGGAGTTTTGGCTCATTTTTTTCAGATATATCCCAAGACAGACACCTAGATGTTTAATAAACATTTGCTCAACAAAAATATCACTTATTTTAAACACGGTACAGACTTGGTTTTAAGAATGACTGTCCACCATTATAATCATGATTTTTTTCTTACACCAAATAAGTCTTTCTATAGTTCTCCTGAGTTAGAGAAAATGCCTTGAATCCTATGATAACAAACATCCTTGGTTCTCATATCAGGGTGATTCAGTACATGATTCTTGGTTCTCATATCAGGGTGATTTAGTACATGATCTTCACATGTATATAATACTTCTAGTTTCTCAATCATTTCTCTGTGTACACAGGGGAGATTTTAGAATCCTACTCTACAGATTAGGAAATAAACTCAGAATCATTAAGGCCTTTACCCAAAATCACACAAATAATGTGACCAGAATTCAGCTTTAGGTTTTCAGACTCCAAATCCAGGCTTCTTCTACACTAAGGTCTCTGCAAAACAATATTCTGACATTGGGGCACACCTTTATCCAAGGTACATAAAATGTTCTCACATTTCCCAAAGAGTTTCTTTGGTTTCCTTTTATTAGGATCAATACTATGTAAGCCTCCATGAATTTAATTAAGCCAAATCACTTATTATACTAAATTTTGTATTTTCTACAACCAGTGGATATGTACTATACTGTAACAACGAGGCCAGGAAAATATTTTCCAAATATCATAGATACCAAGATTCTGACAACAACTGATGAGTTTCTACAGCTTATTATAGAGATAATAAAGAACAATGAAGCAGGTGAAGGGTAAAGGCGCCCCCTCCCCCCTTTTTAGAGGAGAAAGATGAAGGATAGGGAACAAGTGGCAAAGAATGATGAGCTGCTAGAGTTACTATGTAATATCAAAGCACTTACATATAAAAGAAGAAAAAGATCAGTGTTTTTAGACAAGAACTCAAAGTTGCACGCCAAAATTTAGAGGAATATTTGACAAATTTTTGTTAATTACCATCAATGGAGAAAGGTAATCCTTAAAAGATAACTCATAATACAAAAAAAGTGGGGAGAACCAGATGTCAGTAATAATTCCTGCTGAATCTCTACACTTAGAAGTCATGGGAAGGAACCTGCCATAGTCAGAGCAAGACCTAAGGGAGATCCTAAGACCAAGGAACTCCATGACTATCCTTTCCTGTCAGTTGCAAGTTAGGAGACAAAAGTTGCCTAACAAAACAAAAGCTGCAATTCGCAAAGCAATCACGTTTTAGATAATTAACTCACAGAAAAGATGAAAATAAAAAAATGTGCAATTGAATAATCCAGGCTTTCTAAAGGACTCTCAAACTAAGATGACACATTATTATAGACACTGTATACAACCCAGAACTTTTTTTGTGGGGAGGGGTTCAGAAAAGGGACAGAACCAGAGTCATAAGATGACTCATTTAGTAACTACAGAACAGAGGGACTGACCTTTCAACTACATTATTTTATATAGTTTATGTATTATATTTTTCTCTCTTTATATATGTTTAATACAGGGGGAGGGAAGAAGGCATCTGTTTTAGACTCATTCATTCCTAGAAAATGTTTTCTATTTTGAGACAGTTTTGCTAGGTTCCTAAGTAAGTTCTAGCTCTGTTTATTCTGAATCACAGGAAGGCTCAAAGAAGGGACATAACTTGGTTTGGATCTCACAGCTAGAAATGGATGAAGAAGGTCAGGCAGAAAGGTTCCAACGACAACAGGGCTGAACCACTTTATATAACACTGTTCACCATTAGATTAAAAATACATATGTATCATTTTTTTTAAAGCTTACCTTCGATATACAAATAAGGTCCCTTCTATATCAGTCTTCTCCTATAATAGACAATGAGTTGATTAGTTTTTCCTCCCTATAATCCAACCCCAAATGGTCCTAATGGAGAAGTAGTACTTCATGTTTAAGATAAAATTACTTATTTTAAAATTAGTCCCTTTAGAACAGGTCAAGTAAGTCTCTTACTCAACAAACTACTGTTACCAGTTTCTTTTGTGTCCTTTCTGTGCTCTGGTTGCACACTAATGTATACACAATGTTCAATCCAGCAACATGTCTGTTATCTGCAGCATTTTTCTTTTTAAAATTTTAGGGTGAAAATCTTAGAATTAGCTCCCCCCCCCAGTTTCTAAAGACTATTTATTTGAGAGAGAGAGAGAGTGTGTGCCCACACACCTGAGGGAGGGGCAGAAGGGGAGGGAGAGGGAGAGAATCTCAAGCAGATTCTCACAACCCTGAAATCATAACCAGAGCCTAAACCAAGAGTTCGATGCTTAACCAACTGAGCCACCCAGGCGCCCCACTTTCCCTTTATAAAGCTAAAATGTCTTATCCAGATTTTTTAATTTTAAAGCCAAGCTTCTGTGTACAGCAATTCCTTCACTTTTAAAGTTTATCAGTTAGTAGGGGGGAAAAAAAGTAAGAAACGTTATCTTCTAGGATAGTCTGTTTCATCATTGGGGATTTTGGTGTATTTTTATGAATAGTGAATTTTGTGGTTTGTTAAGAAATACTATCAAACACAATTAGTTTTTTATTCTTAGAAATTTGTTGAAGAATCTTGAAAACTGAAGCTATACTCTGCCTTAAGGTAATTATTGTAGGACACATAAATAATTAAAAATTTTAAGCATAAAATGAAATGTCTTGATTAAAAGTACAACTCATATTATCTTTTGTTTGCTGTGACAAGTGGACTTAGGTTTTAAACACATACAATGTTTTAAAAAAAACCCAAATAACCACAGCAGCTCACAGCTTGGATAGAACCTACTTTTTTTTTTTAAAAGATTTTATTTATTTGACAGAGAGAGACACAGCGAGAGAGGGAACACAAGCAGAGCGAATGGGAGAGGGAGAAGCAGGCTTCCCGCTGAGCAGGGAGCCCGATGTGGGTCTCAATCCCAGGACCCTGGGATCATGACCTGAGCTGAAGGCAGTCACTTAACAACTGAGCAACCCAGGCGCCCAGAACCTACATATTTTAATGCAATTAACAAACTGTTGTAAAACTTTAAATGCTAGTCATTCCAAATTGGGTTTGTTGGGATATAAACGTTTAAAAAATATTTATCACATTGAGAGTATTGCTCTACCTTAAATATCATCATAAAATTTTCCTTCCTAAAGATTCATAGGCTTTCTCTTGCCTTTCAAATGTTAAATTATTAGTATAAAAAACTGGTAATCAACAGTCTCACAGTGAAAGAAAACTTGCTCAAACACAACACTGTGCAAAGTTACAACTCACTGTAAAATAAAGATACAAAAGATTTTGGTTATGCTCTATGTGCTCTATGTGCCATTATCCAAATGAACAAAAAATGGCAGCTTATTTTTCAATTCAGATTATTATAACTATTCATAGTTATATGATCACAGATCATTATAACTACTTCATATTTAAAGCATGACTCTACAATTTAAATTCCACAATATTCAAAGTCTGTGAAAAACTAGAAATAAAAGTCTGTGAGTCCTAAATTCCTGCTCCCAAGTCTTCACCATTTGTCTGCAATTCACATCTCACAAATTTATATGCAGACCAAATAAAAATTATTCAGAACAATTCAAACTAAGGCAATGTCTAAAACAGCTACACTAAAAAAAAAAAATCTAAAATTTTGTCCTTTGTGGCTTTCCATACCTCCTTCTCTTCCAGGAGTTGAAAGAAAGAAGATAAAGCAAGAGGATTCTGAGAGGTCTCTTCATCTGAATTGTTTATAAACGTCAAATGATTTTCACAAAATTACTGATTAAATATAATATACATATCTGTTTTATACCGTAAAGGACATATTACAATAATCTTTCAGGGTTTTGTTAGTATAAGGATTTCATTTTTTACTGAAATGTGAACGTTACTCATTTATGAACTTAATCCAACAAACATCTGCGGATTATTTGCCAAAAGTAAAGCCTAAAGATGAATGAGTAAATTATGGAGGGTCAATTACTAGAAAACTGGAAATTATGTTACTCTTAAACAGGGGCCAACAAGTCAGAACAAACCCAATGTAACTTTTCGGACCCCCTCCCGTGCAAAAAAAGCGAAAAAGTACTTAGTCGGAAGGGAGCTTCAGAGGTGACATCACCAGCAGCACGGCTGGTACGAAACACATTCACAGGGTCTCTTTTCCAAAGGTTTCAAGGGAACGCAATTAACATGGAAGCCCTTTCCCTAAGTGCCTTGAAATCTTTTCCAAAACTCTGGAAATACTGTGTAGTTAGATAAAAGCCGGACTTATCCCCACCACCTCTCTTCCAAGAATTGAAACTAATTGGATTTCAAGCTTTAAATCCAAATGACCTCTATGAAGGGGGCTCTTATTTACGTGCTTGTTGAGGGCAGAGAACGGGTGTTTACTTTATAGATTACGTACATGTAGTTTATCTAATAACCCAAAGAGCTTCAAACACAATCTTCCAGGTATCTTTCTGATCCCACCGTTCTCATCCTCCAACACGTCTGCAAAGAAGGCAGATCGCCCAGGTCTCCGGACCCGACCCCAAGGGACTGATCCTTCTCCAATCCTCTCCTCTATCGGCTTTCCCCCCAGACGTTCTGAGCCTACTTCTCTCGCTCCTCTCCCCAATTCCCGGCGCCCCTGACACCCTTCAGGGACCGGCCAGTCTCTTCTCCAGTCCCTGGCCTCCCCCGTGCCGCCCTGGCCTCCCGAATCGCCCCCAACCCAGGACAGTCCGCACGGCCCCTTTAAGAGGCGGCGGCCGGGCGGACGACCTCAGCGGCCTGGCCGCACTCACCCACTGGTTGGCCTTGGGGCAGAAGGTGTACAGAGCGACCTGGCCCGTGAGGTCTGCGATGCTGGTGATGTAGGGGTCGTGCTGCTTCAGGGCCGCTAAGCTCATCTCCTGCCCAGCTCTACTCAGCGACTCCATCTTGAATTCCCGAGCCGAGCCCCTCCGGCGGGGGCGGAGTCGCGGACAGGAAGGTGCCATAGAGGCAAAGTTCCCCCAGCTGCGTCAGCACATTCAACTTCCGCCTCTCCGCTGGACCTCGCGGCGGGACGGTACAACAGCTATTGTGCTCCGCTGCGTCCACGCTCACGGGCTCCGGGTTCCGGGAGCGTCAGGTACCTGAAGTTCAAGGGTCTGTGTTGGCGTCGGTGACCGAGCTGGCAAGGCGGGGGCGCAGGCCCTTCCTGTACCCGGGGTAGAAGTGTCCTGACGGCGGGATCGAGGCTGTCCGCGAGCTTTCTCCGGGCTCGTGCTCGACGCGGGGCCGCCTCGGCTTGCACAAGTCCAAGCCGGGCCGCAGAACGAAAAGCCGGCTGTGGCGGTGTGGGGCTCCACCGTCGCGGGGGAAAGCGCAGAGAAGCGGGGAGGGGCAGCACCCCGAAAGTCACCCCAGATCTCCGATCTCACTAGATCACCGCCGTCAGCAATTGGGTGGTTTTTTCTGAAGGAACGTTTTGGAAAAAGCCAAACTAGCCCTCCTGTAACTGCACAGGGGTGTCTTGTGCCTTCCACAGTTGCTCCTCACTTGCCCTGTCTGAATCTTGCATAAGTCCTTCTTCCATCCAGTCTTGGCAGGAGCCCGCGAAGGCGTGAGTTTGTGGTGCAGCGTTTAAATTAAAAAGATAGCTCGTTCTTTTAGCAAACACGTGTTAAGCATTTTAACACATTTTTAAAGAGCCAGGTACTAGCTACAGAGTGAAACAGGGCATGGAGACTAAAGGGAACTCTGTTCACCACCACTCGACTTAAAAGAACGTTTTCTTATGTGGAAAAGATACCTCAATGGAATCGAATTTTTGAAAAGGAAAAAAAAAACCCCGACCTATTTGTATTGTTTATGATTTTTACATCCCAGGACCGTTTGTTAATGGAAAGAATATAATGTCTTAGATTCTTTGCAGTATCACCTAAGAAGCGTGTATAAATGCAGATAAGGAAATGTGGCATTCATTTGCTGTGCATTAAGCAAGTATTTATTGAACCTTTAGGGGTGAGTAGGAGTTCATCAGGGAAGAAAGGCAAGGGCGCTCTTTCATTTTACAGTCTAATGGTGAGGTAGGGAAGGTGTGGTCATGCTCATTTGATGGATGATTTAATTGAAGCTGGGTGGAGACATCACTGGCTCAGAGTCCCATACTAGCCTGGGTGGTGGGGGAACCTGGTGTTAGAATCCAGAGGCTCCTTCCTTCCCCCAGAGTCCTTTCCTCTACACCATGGCTACCTTTCTTTATCCTTGAGAATGAGTCTTACTCCCCTCCACCTACTTTCAATCCAATATTTAAAAATCTATACCCTAATTTAAAAAATTATGTATTTTTTGAATACATAATACTAGCCCTTGGAATAAAATTCAAAGACACACCTGAAACTAAGAAAAGTAGGTTTTTCTTCTTTTAAAAATTATTATTTTATTAAGGTATAGTTGACATATAACATTGTATTAGTTTCAGGTGTACAGTATAATGATTTGATATTTGTATATATTGCAAAATGATCAAACTATAGTCCAGCTAACCTCTATCACCATACATAGTTACAAAAATTTTTTTTCTTGTGGTAAGAATTTTCAAGATCCACTCTCCCAGCTGCTTTCAAATACGCAATACTATTATTAGCTATAGTCATCAGGCTATCTGATACATCCCCAGGACTTATTCATTAGTTTTTTTCTTACATAGATTTACTAAAATCTAAGACATTTCCTTTTTATTTATTACTTTTGATTGAACAGGGCTAGCCTCGTGAAAAACAAGCTATTTTAGGGAGTTTTCATATTCAGAATAGAAAATTGCTTCAAAATGCATGTTTGCACGGCCCAAAACATGTTAATGTTGACTGTAATACTCTGTACGGCTCTCAAGATCTATTAAAGAGAATGTGGATATTTTGGAATTGAAACTCTTCCTCATTTACTTCGAAGCCTAATTTTTCCTTGTATTTGGCTTGGCTAGCTTTCTGCCTATAGCCACTTTCTATGAATTGCCCTTTCAATGATTCCACCCCAGCTCACTGGCCTCCTTGCTATTCCTGTACATGTGCCAAATGAGTCTTGCCTCAAGGCCTTTGCACTTGTCAGTCTCGCTTTCTGGAACATTCTTCTCTCTGATATCCCTGGCATAGCCTTATGGCTCATTTCTTCATGTTGTTCATAGTGCTCATCTACAAGTGATAATTATTTTTACTTCTGTTTCGTCTGTATCATCAGCTCAATGAAACCCGTGTCTGTCTTCTTTATCACACAGAGACAAGTCCTAATACATGTTTGTTGGATTAATCGAAATGTCAGGGTATTCTCTTTATCACATAAACCTGAGAGAAGGGATGATTGTTTCAACTCCACATCTAAGAAAACATTTGTTTCTCCTAAGAGCTGAACGAATAATGATGCCTGATTTTCTTGTATTCCTATATTTTGATTCTTAGGCTTGAGGCTTCCTGAAGCAAACATACTGTGTTTAGTATAGCCCAGAACAGTCACTGGGGACATTTTCAGTCTGGCACCTTTTCCCAAGTCTGTTTTCTCTCCATCTCTCCATCTCCCCTCTTTTCTTCTCCCTTTCTCTAGAGAGTATTCTAGAAGTATCTGCTTACCGTTTGCCTTTTTAGGCAGAGAAACCAAGCGAACTAACTTTCCCAAGGTCACATGATGATTCATTTGCAGAGTTGGATTATCATCTTCTAGTTTTGGCTTCCAGGTAGATCACATATCTTGCTACCATTCTGTCTGGCACACTCTTAAATTACACTGCCTACACATGAGTGAAACTTGTTCTCCTTATGCTGCTGTTTCACCACCGATATTTATTTTGCACGGTTGATAGGCAAAAGGTTGTGGATTTACTATACAATCCATTACCTGGTGCTTACCAGATGCTTAGGGTGGTAGTTCTTTCCTTCAGTTTCTCCAGAAAGGTCGGAGACCTCTGTATTTTATTTTATTTTTTAATTTTTTATTGTTATGTTAATCACCATATATTACATCATTAGTTTTTGATGTAGTGTTCCATGATTCATTGTTTGTGCATAACACCCAGTGCTCCACGCAGAATGTGCCCTCTTTAATACC